TCGCGGGCCAGCAGAAGATAAAGAGAAGATAAAAAGGATCTCTAGAGGACCCTGGGGGGGGGGGGGACGGGCGGGGGCGAGAGAGCGGGTGCCTCGAGGAGGGTACGGTGGGGAAGCCAGGGGGGAAAAACTGGCGGAAAAAAAAAGGAAAATGCGATGAGCGGACTGCACAAATTTGGAGGATTCCGTTTGGCAACCTCTGAAACTTACCGAAAATACATGGGCCATTCTCACGCCACCACGTGTCCTTGGGCATCGTATTTCGTCCCACCAAGACGCGACACTTCATCCCATAAGGAGGGAGCCCTTTGCAATCAACGCATTGTCCACCGCACCAATTGGACTTTTTCTCCGCTCCCCTCCCCTCGCTCCACCGTGTCGCTCCTAGATGCAGCACCCCCGTCAGGAACCCGCCCGAGCCTGCGAGCGATGCAGTCCCCCGGCACTACTCATGTCCGCTTTTCTCCACTGAGCCGCGTCCCACCCGCCTCGCTCCGACTGCACAGTCAACAATCAACCGATACAGGATTGTGCACCGGCAGCCTGCTCGCTGTCAAACCTCTGGACACGTGTTGATTGCTTCATGTCTTGTCCACACACATATACTGTACAATTGTCGTACGTGTCATATGCACCTCGAAAAATCCAAAAACATCCAAAAATTTCTTTTTGAATGCCAACACGTTTTCACACAACCGTGCCAGACTGATGTAGAGTAATAAGGCTGGTGTCATGCATATCTCCGATTTATGTGTCGATTGGGGAGCAGCCTTACTCATGCATCCTTTCGGGCTCTCGAAATACTGCACTGCTCTCACACTTTTCTGAAGGTTTGTGGTGGGAATAAGTACAAAATGCATTAGCAACCTACTCCAAATACTTTCTTTTGAGTTTCAACCAGATGGGAATGAAAGTGCGAGTATGAAACGGTACTTAGCTCGGCCGTTCCCTTTCAAACACTGTTTTCCTGCTCAACCTCAAGTGAGGTTGCTGGGATGAGATTGATGGGCAATGCTCATTCCTTGATATGGGTGCTTGCCTTACTCATGCAAAAATTAAGGATTCGGCTACCCAAGTGGGAATTCTCCGGTCCTCACAAGGGAAACCGGACCAAAGATATTTTTGAATGCCGCCTCAGCCGCATTTCCGCCTTTTTGCGACCCCAGTGATTAGACGCCTTTTTCTGTCAACCTGAGCGGTTGACAGACAGAAGTGTAATCACAGCGTCGCGGAAAAAAGGATGTGGGGCTCTCGGGGAGTCGCGCGACTACACTTTTCGCCGGAATTTCTGAAAAATTTGCATCATCTCCGTCATCATAAATTAATACTGTATGTGCAAACGTGCAAACCATCCAACCGAAATCACAAGATGCTTAACTCGATTTCATTTGGTCCCGATCGGTCTCAGATGAGAGGTCCGATTTCCGTGCAGTTGCTCTCCATTTAGAACACCCACACCACATGAGTTCCAAGCACAAAACAGAGTGAATGTCTGTGGTGCAACTCTCACACGCGCACAATCACCGACTGGCGAAAACTCGACTCATCGAAGAGACAACGGAACACATTCCGCTCCCGACATATGAACCGCCGGTTGCATGTCTGATGCCTTTCACGCCCTTTTGAGCCGCAATGCCCTGGCACGACAGCGAGACAGCTGTCGTGTCATCTTACAACCTGCAAAAGCCGATCGACGGATTCACACACCAAGATCATCCCCTTTTCCGCACAACCGCCATCATCTATCGCACGAATAGCGATACAACGGTAGGAGTCACGACAACCCAGCAAGAAGCACCAGCAAACCCCGTTCCAATGAAACTGGCCTCAACCTTTTTAAAAGGCATCCAACCACGTGCGTGCCTTGCTACTATCGCCTCTAGCCGACGAGCGAAATGAGCGAGTGCGGGCCTGCTGGACGATGGCTGCCTGGTCTTAACGAACTGCGCGCATGGCATGTCTCTGGCGTGCACTGAGTGATCTGAGCAGGGGAGGGGGGAATTGTCGCCAGTCCACCTCCTTTCCGCTCTACAACAGTGGTGGTGAGCGCCCAGGTTTGTTGGCACGCCTGCGAGATGCAATACAGTATTGTATGATGCAAAGCAGGATGTTGCGAATGCCTGGCGGCCGGCGTGGGGGGACACGGCTGTGCACAACAGGATGCAACGTTTGAGGTCAAAACATAATTCGAGGGTGACTCGGCGGCATGCGTAGGAAAGTGGCATGCGTGGGAGACGACATAATAAGCCGCAATAGAAACGGCAACGCACAATGCAAAGCTTGGGGGAGCAGCGCGCAAGGACCGATGGTAGCCGCATCGAAAAGCGCCGAATCGTAAGCCATGCAAGGTGGGAAAATCCCAAAATCGCCAATTCCCTCCACCCAGGTATGGCCCGCACGTATCCATTTCCCAGGTTTAAGCGGCTCCGTCCCTTTCCATCCGCCTCCTCCTCCACTTACCTTGCTCCCACCCTACCCCTTCTCCAACTCAACCCCTCACATTCGCCGTATTCCACCTCTCACCCGCACCTCGCCTTACATACTCATCATTCTCCGCACCCTTCCGCTCCATCTTTCCCCTCTTTGCAGTTTGTAAAACCTCCGCCGTTCCCATCTCGCACATCCAAAGCTCCCACTCCCGCCGCGGCACCACACACCCCACACCTTCGTCTAGTGCCGCATCTCCACCTCCATCTCGTAACGTGGCACTCACCTTGTTCGCCCGCAAATCCCTGCAACACCCTTCCGTTTTGTATTCCCACCCTTTCTGCCATTGCACTTCATCCTTTCTTTCCCACCACCTCCGCGCGCCAACCCCCTCACCCCCCCACGCCTCATCTGTCGTCCGTCCGCCGGCGCCATGCCCCGCGCTGACGCGAAGGCTCTCGCCCGTCGGAAACGCCGCGAGGAGATTACTACCCACTTTTTCCCAGCCCCTCTCGCACGCAACCGCTACCGCGTGCACTCGCTCATCGGCGAGGGCGCGTATGGCGTAGTTTGCTCTGCTATCGACACCACGACCAACCATCGTGTCGCTGTCAAGCGTATTCTCAAATGTCTGGGCACGCACCCTATGGCTACACGCGTATTACGCGAGCTCAAGTTTCTGCGCATGCTCTCTGCGCACCAAAACATCATCCAGGTCAAGGACGTACTGCTCCCGAGCGATATTGATAGATTTAACGACACGTTTGTCGTGTTTGAGCTCATGCCGACCGATCTCAACCGCCTGCTCAAGACGGACACCACGCTGACGCACGCACACATCAAGTACTTTATGTTTCAGCTGCTGTGCGGGATCAATTTCATGCATGACGCGCGCGTATTCCACCGCGACCTCAAGCCAAACAACGTGCTGATCAACGGCCGTTGCCAGCTGCGCATCTGCGACTTTGGTCTTGCACGCGCGGCGTTTGAGGACGGACCTGACACGCTGTTCTGGACGGACTATGTGGCGACGCGGTGGTACCGTGCGCCGGAGCTGATCATGGCGTACTACACCAAATACTCGACGGCGATCGACTTGTGGTCGGTGGGATGCATCTTTGCGGAAATGTTGGGCGGCGGCAAGGTGCTATTTGAAGGGAAGAACTCACGGCATCAGATCGAGTTGATCACAGACGTGATCGGGCCGCCGCCCGCGAGCGCGATTCAGAAGCTGCGAGACCCGCAGGCGCGACGGGTGTTGTCGGAGTTTCAAAACATGACGCAACCGCAACGGCCGTTGGATACGCTGTTTCCGGATGCGGATCCGCTTGCGATCGACGTGTTGCGCGGGATGCTTGCGTTTGACCCTGATGAAAGGATCTCTGCGGTCGAGGCGTTGCGATACCCTTACTTCTCCGAGTATTTACACTTGGGACTGGGGGCAAAAGCCGAGCCACTACCCGCGAGTGAGTTTAATTTTGAGCGGTCTAAGCTGTCACCCGACCAAATGCGGGAAGAGTTTCTGCGTGAGATCTTGCATTACCACCCCGAGGCGTCGGTAGAGGTACTGCGGCGATGGTCGACAGGGCATGCTTATCAGGTGCGGTCAGCGGTGGACCAGTTTGGACGGGAGGTGAGTCGGCTGGTGCAAAATAATCCCGGGATGCCGATCGCCAGTCAGACGCTACAGGAGAGAGTGATGGAGGAGATTACGCAGGAGAATCGGATGGTGGAGACGTATGCGGAGCGAAGGCAACATGTGACGATGACGGAGAGTGAGATGAGTCAGTTTATGCAGCGATGAGTAGTGTACGGTAGATGGACACTGTAGGTACGGGAATGGGCGGTGTAAAAAAGTATTTAGGGGACGAGGGGAAGGCGGTTCCGGGTTGAGGATATATGAAGAGGCGTGGTGGAGTGGTTTTGGTATTTGGATAGGGGAGTGCAGTAGAGTATGTAGGAGTCGGGTAGAAGCAAGTGCTAAAAGGACTAGCTATGACTTGACTGACGACTAGAGCTAGAAGACGGTTTCCGAGTTAGGACATGGTTTCGTGGTAGAAGTGTGCAATTTAGCGTCTACATTATCCAGAAGGATAAGTTTTTGAGGTTGAACAAGTCTCGGGCTTTTCGGAACGACTGGGGATGTAGAAGCGTACAATACCGGGAGGGGCACTTGGGTAGGGCATGACAGGTTGTAGATTGAGGAAACACGTGTCCAGGCGGTACACGTGTATACGTATATACGTGTGCTCAGTACGGGTAGGGCATCGAGGGCCAGTGTACGTAGGCGTTGTTGGCATTGGGTATGTACTTGTAGCAGTGTGAGAGTCGAGAGTACAGTACAACTTGTAGGGCAGAGAAGTGTGGTGGTAGTACTGTAGATGAGTTTTGTGCAAGACCAAAGGGAGGGGTGGGGGGGAGGGGGGAGTGGACACGTGGTCTGGCGAGGGTGGGATCCCTTTGGAAACGACTCCACCTCACGGGCAGCGCAGATGGTGTGGAGTGAGTTGGCGGGTAAGGACATGGGCAGTGCAGGCGGAGACGGAGCGATGATGGGCGGGCTGGCGAAGGGACCGAAACATCTGTTTGTTCTTCGTCTCATGTCTTCCGCCCGCCAGGTTGTACACTAAAGAAATACTGTTAACGTGCAGCAGCGTACGTGGTATGACGCTTCCACTTGCATAGGAGCGGGTACTACTGACACGCAGAGGTCTCGGATTCCCTTCAACTACAGTATTGTAACTATGGAGTACTGTAGTATACAACAGCACCGGACGGTAATCTACGGCACGGGCGTCGAAGCCAAACATTGAGGGCGGTCCGCGCTTCCCTTCCGGTGACGCGGGCGCCACACGAGACGGGCGCCCGCCCGGTGCGGTAATTCGAGCGGAGTCGGGGAGTGAATTTCGCGGCCACGTTTGGTACACGTGGAGCGCAAGAAGCGCGAAGGGGTGGCCAGCAGCAAGGGGGCGGCGGGCTCGCGATGGGGGATGGGGGTGCGGCGTTTGTGGGTGCGGCGTTTGAATGAGCGCGGCACCGATAGGGTTTTCTAGGATGCGCAGAGCGAGTGAGCGGGCGGGGTTTGGAAGCAGAGCAAACATCGTCGAGCTCGTTGCTTGCCGCGAGGCGCGCCCGATGCGCGCGGCACTTGCGTTTGCCGTGGCGCGAAAAATCTCTGCGCGCCGCGTTTCCGAAATGTTCCGTGCAACTCAAGACACGCAAGCCTTG